GAAAAGAATTTGGAGATACCTCAAAGAGCTAAAAATAGAAATATCATTCGATCCAGCAATAGCATTTTATCAATATTAAGTCTTTCAAATCATGACCATGACGTGCCTTTCATTTATTTTTATCTTTAATTTCTTTCAACAATGTTTTGTGATTTTCAGCATAGGAGTCTTAAACTTCTTTTGTTAAATTTATTCATAAATATTTTATTTTTGATGCTATTGTAAATGAAATTGTTTTCTTAATTTCATTTTTGGATTGTTCATTGCTAGTATATACAAATACAATTAATTTTTTTTATACTGATCCCATATTGTACATTCTTGCTGAACTCATTTATTAGTTCTAGTTATTTTTTAGTGGTCTCCTTAGAATTTTCTATATACAAAATGATTTTATCTACAAATAGAGATAGTTTTTATTCTTCCTTTTCAATCTGAATGTCATTTTTCTTTTCTTTTCTTCCTTCTTTCCTTTCTTCTTTCCCTCCCTCCCTTCCTCCCTTCCTTGCTTCCTTCCTTCCTTCCCTTTTCTTTCCCTTATTTCTCTAGCTAGAACCCTAATACAATGTCAAATACAAATGGCAAGAGAGGACATTCTTGACTTGTTACTTTCATTGCTTTCTATTTCATTAATTTTTGATCTTATCTTTATCATACCTTTTTCTAATTTTATTGAACTTGTTTGCATTCTTGCATCTTGAGATGGATGTTTAACTCATTAACTTTTGGCGTTACATCATTGCTAATAGATACAAATTTTATTTATTTCTTTTTAGAAACAGGGTCTTGCTATGTTGCTAAGGCTAGTTTGGAACTTGTGGGCTCAAGTGATCCTCCCACCTCAGCCTCCCAAGTAGCTGGAACTACAGGCACATGCCACCACACTTGGCTCCCACAAGTTTCAACGCGGGTATTTTCATTATTGTTCAGGTAAAAACCACTATCATTCTTCTTTGACCCATTAATTATTTCAGAATGTGTGTCTTAGTTTTCAAACATATTGAGATTATCCAGTTATCTTTTTGTTATTGATTTGTAACTTACTTGTACTGAGATCAGATTTTAATTCTTTGATGTGTGTTAAGACTTGCTTTCAGGCCTAGTGTATGGTCAAATTTTGTAAATGTTTTGTATGTGTATTCTATAGTTGTTGGTTGCAGTGTTCTATACATTGGCTATTAGCTGAAGTTATTAATCATATGATTCAAAAATTCTATATCCATAGAGATATTTTTGTCCCTTGATCACCTACTGAGAGAGGTGTAGTAAGACCTCCTACTCTTGATTGTATATTTGCCTATTTCGCCTTTAGTAAATTAAGTTTTCCTTTATGTATTTCTTTTCTTTTTTTTTTTTTTTGAGACAGAGTCTCACTCTGTTGCTCGGGCTAGAGTGCTGTGGCATCAGCCTAGTTCACAGCAATCTCAAATTTCTGGGCTCAAGTGATCCTTCTGCCTCAGCTTCCCGAATAGGTGGGACTACAGGCATGTCTGTATGCCATGATTTTTTCTATATATTTTTAGTTTAGGCCAATTAATTTCTTTCTATTTTTAGTAGAGATGGGGTCTCACTCTTGCTCAGGCTGGTTTCGAACTCCTGACCTCAAGCAATCCACCCGCCTTGGCCTCCCAGAGTGCTAGGATTACAGGCGTGAGCCACTGTACCCAGCCTCCTTTATGTATTTCAATGCTTTATTATAAGTATACAATCATTCAAATTTGTTGAACTTCCTGATGATTTGAAATTTTTATCATTATGAAATAACCTTCTATATCTCTAATAATGCTTTTTGCTTGTAAGTGTATTGTGTCTGATATGAATATAGCTATACAAGTTTTCTGTTCTATATTATTTGCATGATTTATCCTTTTTCATCTTTTTATTATTAACCAATATGCATCATTATATTTTGGATTTGTCTCTTTTCAACAGCATGTAGTTGTATTTATTAATCTCATTTGACAATATTTGCTTTTAAAACCTGAGCATTTAGCTCATAAATATTAAAAAAATTTAATTAAGAAATTGTATTGATATATAATATTTGTACATATTTATGGGGTACATGTAATATTTTGATTACATGCATAAAATGTTTACTGATCAAATCAGGGTTTTTAGGATAGCCATCACTGCAAACATTTATCATTTCTTTGTGTTGGGAACATTTCAAATCTTCTCTTCTAGCCCTTTTGAAATATACAATATGTTGTTGTTCACTATAGTCACCCTCCTGTGCTATTGAACACTAGAACTTTTTCTTTCTATTTAACTGTATGTTTGTACCAAATTAACCAATCTCTTGTCATTCCCCCACCCACACACTCTTCCCAGCCTCTGGTATCTCTCATCTACTTTCTACCTCCATGAGACCCATTTTTTTAGTTCCCACATATGAGTGAGAATATGCTAAATTTGTCTTCCTGTGTCTGGTTTATTTCACTTAACATAATAAACTCCAGTTCCATCCATGTTGTTACAAATGACCTGATTTCATTTTTTATGGCTGAATTGCATTATATATATATATATATATCTCACATTTTCTTTATCCATTCATCCACTGATGGGCACTTAGGTTGATTCCATATCTTGGCTATTGTGAATAGTGCTGCAGTAAACATAGAGGTGTAGATATTCCTTTGATATACTGATTTCCTTTCCTTTGGGTAAATGTCCAGTAGCAGGATTACCAGATCGTATGGTAGGTCTATTTTTATTTTTTTGAGAACCCTCCATACTGTTTTCCATAATGGCTACACTAATTTACATTCCCACCAACAGTGTATAAGAGTTCTTATTTTCAGCTCCACTATCCTTCCTGCCCTCGTGTGCTGTTCTCTTGGTTATAGTGTCCCTGCCCTTCAGGAACTCCCAGCTGGTGTGTGCTTGGCAGTCCCCAGGCCTTTGTAGCGTATCTCCCCTCCGCAGTCCCTCTACCCAGACTCTTCTGTCCCAGAAGTGGAGAGACGGTCCCACGTGAGCCACAGCAGCATGCTGGTGGGTCCACGGTGTTGATTACCTTTGTATAAAGAAATAGCCTCTGACCTGCAAAAAAAAAAAAAAAAAGGGCCGGGCGCGGTGGCTCACGCCTGTAATCCTAGCACTCTGGGAGGCCGAGGCGGGTGGATTGCTCGAGGTCAGGAGTTCGAAACCAGCCTGAGCAACAGCGAGACCCCGTCTCTACTATAAAAATGGAAAGAAATTAATTGGCCAAATAATATATATAGAAAAAAAAAAAAAGAGTTCTCTTTTTTCTGCATCTTCACCAGCATTTGTTATTTTGTGTCTTTTTGATAATAACCATTCTAATTGGGGTAAGATGTTATCTCAGTATGTTTTTTTTATTATGCTTAATAGATGTACATAGTTTCGGGGTACATGTGATAATTTAATACATTCATATAATTTCTACAGATCGAATCAGTATACTTGGGATATCTGTCACCTTAAATATTTGTCTTTTATTTATGCTAGGAACATATGAATTATTCTCTTCCAGCTATTTCAAAATATACAATAGATTATTGTAATCTATAGTCACCTTACTGATCTATCTCACATTAGGTCTTATTTCTTCCATCAAACCATGTATTTGTACCCGTTAATCAAATTTTTTTCATCTTCTCTCCTCCCTCATTGTGGTTTTGATTTGCATTTCCCTAATGGTTAGTAATGTTGAAAATTTTTTAGTATACTTATTGGCCTTTTGTATATCTTCTTTTGAAAAATGTCTGCTCTGATCCTTTGCCCACTTTTTAATGGGAATATTTGGGTTTTTTTTTTTTTGCTGTTGTAGGTCATAAACATATAATAAAATTATTCATATATTTGGGTTTAAAGCTAGTATTTTATTTTGTGCTTTTATTGGTCCCACCTATGTTTCTTTCACTTCTTCTTTCTTGACTTTTAAAAAAAATTTGACTGAGAATATTTTGTTGATTATTTCAACTTTTCCCCTCTCTACTAGTTTGGAAATTTATATCTTGTTGCTGTAATTTTAATAGGCACATCCTATTAATTACTACATATGTAATTACCTTATCAAAGTGTAAATTTAATAAATACCTAAATCACTTTCGATAGGATACAGGCCCTTAAAATAGTAGAACTCCATTTATGCCCCTCCTGACATCTTTTCTGATTATGTAGTACTTTAAGTTTATTTCTTAAAAGGCAGAATAGATATTTTTATGATTCCTTCTTTCGTCAATGTTCACTTACATTGCCCACATACTACCACTTTCCTCGCTCTTCATTCCTTCCTGCCTTTAGTTCTTCTAAAATCATTTTCCTCCTGAAGTACATCCTTTAGAATTTCCATTAGTGCGGTCTGCTGGTGACAAACTAAGTATTGTTGTTTGTCTAAAAAATAAACTTTCTTCTACCTACTTTTTGAGTATTTTCATGACAATGCTGCCCTCAGGGTGGCAGATTAACAATGGGTAGGGTCTCCCATAAATATACCCCATTCTGACTTTGACTTTCATGAACAAAAGTCCTAGTGTAAAGTGCCCATATGGTATCAGCTGCTTTGGTGGGATAACAATGCCTATCTCAATTGGGTTGCTGAGATGCTTCAATGAGATAATGATGGAAAATTCCTGGTACAGAGGAGGAAGGCAGCCAAAGGTAGTTATTATTTCAACTGAAAGTTTTGACTTTTAACCTTCAGGATTTTAAGGTTTTTGTGGGGGTTTTTTGTTGTGTTTTTGCAATTGGAAAATAAAATGTGGCCTCCTTAGAACCACCAGAGCCAGAATCCTTGCAATTGGAAGCCCCTTTACCCCCAACTTCTCTCTCACAACATGAGACCAGAGATAGGGTATGCTTGGCATCCACCTGGAGCCAGTTTAGCAAATGCTCCTCCCAGCCCTACATTAAGTGACCCTAGCTTTGTTCTGGTGACCCAACCCAGAACCCAGATACCTTTACACAATCAACATTTTTTTTCGTCAGAGTTCTGAGATGTAGTTTTTTTCTTTTCTGATGTCACCAAGTTCAACTGTAAATGACCTGATTTGATGATGAAACCTACTTAAATGCAAAACAAGATTCTACTTAGAAGCCAAGGTCAGATGTTATGTATTGGGAAACAGAAGCAAGAGTTTGAAGAAAACCCTTAAGCCACAGCCAGCATCACCCCTGACTGCAAGGTGAGCATCCTGCCTTCTCTGCACCTCGAAAACCCTCCACTCTCCACCAACACCGTCCCACTCTTCCATCTCCAAGAGAAAGGTCACAATCCTGAGATGAAGGTACTTTGTCTCTAAATTGAGATCATTTATTCCAAGGAATTCTAGGTATTGGGGTTGGAAATAAGAAAGCAAAATGGAGTAGGTGAAGCACATCGGCAGGCTGAAGATGAACCCAACAGCAGCCAAAAGGCATCTTGAACTGTTCACTCACTTTCAAGTCTCAGGACTCGAGAACAAGTATCAGCAACTGCTTTGCACTTGGGCAGTCCACTTGTGCATGCATGTACCACCACAACCCTTGACCCCCAAAAGCCCCACAGGAGCCTCCTAGCCACACTTTGCAGAAGGGAAGGAAGATATGCTTTCCTGGAACCAAAAGCAAGGGAAAATGGAGTGTTATGGGTTGAATTGTGCCCCCCCCATTCATATGTTATAGTCCTAACACCCAGTACCTCAGAATGTGAGTATATTTGGAGATAGGGCCTTTAACACATGATTAATGTGTTAACACACTGTGATTAACACAATGTGATTAACACATTGAATGTCATGTGAGTTGTATTTAACTCGGGCTAGTTTTGAGCCAAGGGCCTCGTGAAGAAAAATCCTGCAGTTGGTTCATGAAAATCTTACTTGTTGATGTTCTTATTGTTACAATTAATATTGACAATTGCATTCTAAAAATGTAGATTGTGTTGCATATAACTCACACACAGAAAACAATAAAAAATAACAAATTAGAAAGGATCGTTTTGTTTTAATAAAACACTGTGGCCCCAGGAGAAAAAAATTTTGTTTTCTAGTGTGGCAATTTGTTAAGTTAAAAATGAGGCCTGTAGGGTAGGCCCCAGTCTGACTGGTGTCCTTATAAGAAGAGGAAATTTGGACACACTGAGTGACACAAAGGGTGCACATGCAGAGAGGGGATGACCACGTGAAGAGTTAGCAAGAGGGTGGCCATGTGCAAGCCAGGGAGAGAGGCCTCAGGAGAAACCAACCTTGTTGGCACCTTGATCTGGACTCCTGGCTTCCAGAACTGTAAGAAAACAAATTTATTTTGTTTAAACCACCCAGCCTATGGTATTTCCTTATAGCAGCCATAGTAAACTGATACATTGAGCCACTGGCTGCATGGCCTATATACGCTGAAAAGTCCTGCCTGTCACTTCTATGGAGTTGCTCCTATTCTAGGGCCAATCTGGCAAAGAAATCCCCTCAAGAGCTCACAGAAGAGCAACCTAGCAACTCATCCTTGAGCCAAAAAACAGAAGTAATCTATCAGTGGCAGAGAACTGTCATTCTGGGGTTTAGTTAAATTGTGTTTCATTTCATACACTTCTCCTTCAAGTACAAATTGACAGAGGAACATATTGATGAAGAAAGGTTGTAGTACAATGTTTTTTAACCATTATTGGCTCACATACCCAATAAAAAATCTACAAAGCTATGTCTTATAAGAACATGCAGTCCATATTAGTTTCCTATGGCTGCCTAAAATAGTATCTGAATGTTTGTGTTCCCCAGAAATTCATATGTTGAAATCCTATCCACCAAGGTGATAATATTAGGAGGTGAGGCCTTTGGGAGGTGATCAGTGCCCTTATGAAAAAGACCCCAGAGAGCTAGCTCACCCTTTTCCCCATGTGATGACACAGCAAGAAGGCACCATCTACAAACCAGGAAACAGGTTCTCACCAGACACCAAATATGCAGATGCCTCAGTCTTGGACTTTTCAGCCTCAAGAACTGTGAGAAATGAATTTCTGTTGTTTATACACCATCCAGTCTATAGTATTTGGTTATAGCAGCCCAAATGGACTAAAACACTGCCATAAGAAATTACCACAAACTTGGTGGCTTAAAACAAGGGAAATTTAGTTTCTTACCATTCTGGAAGCCAGAAGTTTAACATCAGTTTCTCTGGCCAGAATTCAAGGTGTCAGCAGGACTGCACTTAATTCCTTGCCTCTTCCAATTTATGGTGGCTTGGGGGGCATTCCGATACCTGTGGTCACATCACTCCATTCTCTGCCTTTGTCTTCACATCGCCTTCTCTTATGTGTGCATCAACTCTCCCTCCGCCTCGCTCTCATAAGGACACTTGTGATTGGATTTCAGGTCTGCCTGGACAATCAAGTCAAGATCCTTGACTTAATCACATCTGCAAACACCCTTTTACTTCATAAGGTAACATCTACAGGTTCCAGGGTTTAGGATCTGATATATTTTGGTTGCCATTATTTGGCCTCATCCAGAGTCCAAAATCTTTGCAGACAATTTTAGGAAGATCATGGATTCCAGGTAGGAACATCTGCTCTGGAGTTGCATTTCACACAGATATGCTGTAGACAGATACATTGCAGACAGGCCCATTTACTTATTCACAAACCTCTCTACATCTAAGGATCAGCTACAGCGCTGGTTAAAATTATGCTAAATACAAAATCACATCTCCAACCCCCCTAGGCCTAATGAATCAGAATCCCCCAAAGATGGGGCCCAGGAATCTGCATTTTAAACAAGCTCCCAAAATGATTCTGATGCAGCCAGTCTTGCACCCATACTTGAGTGAATGTTGGTTAAGGGCCTTGGTGATCCAAGTACCATCTCTGTTAAATACTGCCACTTCCTTCACAATAAAAGAGGAGAGGGCTGTGCAAGACTATTTACAACAAAGAAAGTGCGAATACGTTTTCCACCCCTTCCCCCTGTACAAAGGTGAGGAACTTTTACTGTTCATTTGATTTTCATCCCACCTTATGTTTCACGCACCTGGCTTCAAGACGCAGAGCTAAGCCGAGGGAGAAAGAGAGAGGGAGAAGGCTAGGGTGGGTGGAGGGAGAAAGAGCCGCAACCTGCCCAGTAACAGGCAAATCCGCTCAGCGGACCCAACCAAGCTGCACTTGACGCCCCGCGGCCCGCTGCGCCCCCGCCCCTTCGTGCCGCGGCTGTGAGGGGGGCGGGGGGGGCCGCCCCCGCGCTCCGCTGATTGGCCACGCCGGCCCGCTCGTCACGCTCTTTTGTCTCAGCGGGCGGAGGATAAAAGCTGCCGCGGCTGCCTTGGGAACCGCGCTGCCTCGACTGGGCTACCCCTTGCTGGGCAGCCCTGCGAAGCAGCTCCATCAGGCAGCCCCTGGTCGCTCAGCGGCTGTGGCGGCGCCTGTCCTTTTCTCCTGCAGGGCCGCGGAGAAGGGAAGGCGGAATCCACAGCTGTCGGCGCCTGAGCATCAGCTGCCCACCAGCGCAGCGCAGGTAAAGACGGGCGCGATTGCCCGGCGCGGACAGCGGACAGGGGAGGGAGAAGCCCCGCCAGTGCTGGGCGGCTCCCGGCTTGCAGAATCGGTAACTGAGAGGCAGGGGAAGGAGCACTCCCGTGGCCGGCTGCGCTGAGGGAGGAGGTGGGGTTCACCTGGATGCTGCAGACTGGGTAGGATTTGCCTGCATTGGGGGGTGGGGTGGGACTCACAAGCTGTTTGCCTTGAACCCCCTTGGCATCTCCTCATCCCTTCCCAGGGAGGAATATGTGGGTGGGTGTGTCCAACTCCTATTCCCTTTCTCCGTAGCTGGCCATCAAAGGCACACCTGAACTTGAATTCTGTGCAGCTGATTGCAGAGCTGGTAGGCCGGCGGTTTCCTGGGGTGGGGGGGGAGTGTAATGCGGGGTGTAGGGGGGACTCTGGCTTGTATTCCAAAGGGGCAGAGGGAATTTTCCACCTGGCGACAGCGGAGGCTGCGGAGGGAGGGAGGGAGGAACAGGATGACGGGGGAAACTGTTTGTGACCCTTCTCTTCCCTGGCCGCCTCCGCTGTGGCGCAGTCTTGATGCCCGCCTAGAGGACCCGGATCTGCGACCCCCTGTGGACAGAGATTGACCATATCCCTGAGACGAGATTTCTCACGGAGGGCGCCGGTTGCAGAGGCTGGAAATAAAGGCGCGCTCTTGCATCTGAGCTCGAGTAAGAATCAGAAATAACGGAGGATGGGGGAGACTGAGAAGGGGGTGTGGTCGAGGACACAGACTATGAGGTTAATGAGATCTTACCCCCACAAATCCGTGACCATTTTG